TTTTTTTCAGAAACAAAACCTAGACAAAGAGGTAATTAGAAATTTTTGTATTCTCCCTTTTCGGCAGCTCGCTAAGCTTTCTGATATTGTTACTGAAAAATTTGATAGAAAGGTAGTGAAATAAGTATATTCTAAATGTAACTTAGAAAAAGCACACAGAACAATCATCTTTGACTGTATCAGCAAAACCTTTGAGCTAAAAACACAAGAGGAACTTTTGAAAGTATTTTGAAGCTCTATCTTATGAATAATCTTATGAATAAGCAGTGATGCAACTAGCAGCATAAGTCACACCATAAATGCAAATAATCATTATTCTTTTTTCCCCCATCATGTTTTATTCCACATAGGTTGTTATGATGGCTTAGTGTATGTGCTTCAGAGCAGTGATGGAGAAATACACTGGACTTTTGTCACAGGAGACACTGTGAAAAGCTCTGCAGTTGTAGACCCTTCCAGTGGACTGATCTACATTGGATCACATGACCAACACGTGTATGCTTTGGATATTTATGTAAGTAAACTGACTTTTACATGTAGAACAATAAACATCCAATTTAGACTCTATATATAGTGCACCAGAGGAGGTCCCACTGGTGTAAGTAATCTTAGGAGTCCACAGTCACACTTCTGAAGGTGCCTGCTGTAAATGGGGTTAGGATTTTGTGACAGTTAACAGTTTTAGTGGTGTTTTCAGTTGTGGTTCTTGTGTTAGTAGTCCTGGTTGAAGCCAAATCCTAAGTTTCTTAGTTATTAAATTCTTCATGGGTGTTTCAGAATAGGGTGCCTAGCTAGAAGTAGAGCTGTGGTTTTCTGTTGGGGAAAGAATCTTACATTCTAAACGAGAAAATGGAGGGCGATGGAAGGTAAAAGGGGTCGATAGTGCCTTTTCATTAGCTGAATTTATTTTGTTCACTTGAAGAGAAAGCCAATGGCACATGTGTTGCTGTCATGGCAAGTAGATTTTCTTCGCTTCTTAACTAGTATTTGCTGAGTAAACACAATACTTGATAACGTTTGACATTCAAAGGTCTTTGTGAACAGGATGAACTCTAACTCCAAGTGAAAAATTGTTTATTATTCTTTTTTTCTTGTACTTACAGAAAAAGGTGTGTGTATGGAAGTTACATTGTGAAGGTGGAGCTGTGTTTTCATCTCCTTGTCTAAGTTCTTTTCCACATCATCTCTATGTTGCTACCTTAGGAGGACTGTTTTTGGCTGTTAACCCAGTATGTACCTTTGCTTATGTGTCTTCATCCTGATCTCAAGTTTAAATGAAACCAAATATATTTCTGAAGTTAAGATTACTATTCTAATGAAAGGGAAGATGATCATATGTTATCAAGAAATATTTTTCACTTGGGGGCATTATGATATACAAGGTTACCATAACACTTCCATACTTCAGAAATCTATCTGGTGATAAGGAGAACTGAAGTGACTTGCTTGAATTCACATGGTGACTGTAGGCCAAAGTTGCAGTCAGTTTCTTTTCATTGCCATATCAGTAAAACCAGTGAGTGAGAGCAAGTCTATAGATTTATTTCCTGCCCCTTCCTCCTTTGACAGTAGGATTGAAAAAAAAAAATAAAAAATGCAGAAATCAGAAGAGAATGCAGAAAGAAGCCACTTCATTCCTGTTATTGTTTCCTTGCCCATATTTAAGAGCTGTCCTTTTACTCTCAGTGTGCAGTTCTGTTCTTTGCACTGGGGAAATGGCATTCTTGATAGACGTGGAGCAATTTCATGGTTTTCCGAGGCATTGTTGGCTTACAGCTGGTCCTGCCTGATAAAAGGAACAGGGACTTGAAGCAGCTGTTAATGTTTTTGTACTCACAGAACACAAAGCATCAATCCTAATCACCTTTACCTTCCACCCACTACAACTGTTCTCAGTAATAACCAGTCTACCATTAGAAAACCAGTGTGTGGTTTTGCAGCCACAGTGGGCTGTGCTTAAGAAAAGATTTTTTTTATTCTGTAATCCACAGTAACAGGTAGTTGAGAAACCCACCTTACAAGCGAGTCTGCACCTTCCTATTTTTATGAATAATCCTAATTCCTGGGGAACGTGCAGGGTATACTAGGAATGCATTGGGACAGTCACAAATAGTTGCAACATGTCCTAGAGTATCAATATAACTTGATTCAAAAGTATCTCTACTTCACTGGTCCTTGTCACATACTGAGCAGCTGGGAATGAAATAAAAAACTGAGTCTGGCATTTATTAGAACTACTGCTAATACACTATTAATTATCATTATGACTCTGCCTAGGATGAAGAAGAAAATTAGTTTTTGATTACATTTTTGTTTTGTGTGGGTTGTTGTTTTGGTTTGAGGGTTTGGCTTGTTTTTTTCCACTTTGCTTAAGGGCTTGGTGAGGCAGTGATGAAAGGGTTGTTTTGTGCTGTTTTTTATAGTTGTGTTAAACATCAGATATTCGATGCTGCCACTTACAGGTGACAGGGAGTAAGATTTGGAAAAGCAACCTTGGAAAACCACTCTTCTCCTCTCCTCACTGCAATGAGAACTACATCTATGTTGGGTGTGTGGATGGAAACTTATATTGTTACACTCATTCTGGAGAAAAGGTAAAAGAGTTGTTGGGCTTTTTACGTCTGTCTTCAAAGCCTGAATAAGATACTTTATTAGGACTGTTTTCTGGGGCTTAATGATTGATATATACCTTTTTGAGAACCAAATAGAAGTGCCCATTGTTAGAGAGGAGAAAGTAGAAAAACCGTTTTCCTAGGGGAGTCCATGCAGTTCATGGCAAAATCACAAACTCAAGTAGCCTGATGCGTTAAGAGAATTTCTAGTTCAGACCTTATACCCAAAGTAAATTGTCAAGTGTAGCGCCAGAAGATTATTTCATTTGGAACTTTTCAAGGATGTTTAGTCTGTCTTCTGTAAGATGGTGGCTATTCAAAAGTAAAGGTTTCTTAGAATTTTTATGAATTTATCAAAAAACTGCCAAATCATAGTTCTGGTAAAATGTGTCAGCCTTCATATTCAATTAAATGAGAGTATTTTTTTAGTTCCTTAGAGATAAATGTAGTTTGTATCTGATGTTAAAACAACTGACACCATTCATTTGTTGGCCTGAGATGCAGTATGCATGGTAATTCCTGAGCCTTTTCTGATTATAAAACTTGTATTAGTCCATCCATGCACTGCTCTCTGCTTGTGACAGTGTTGCAGAACTGATACTCTCTTGAGGAGGAATCTGCACATTGTTAGCATAAGCAGAGGAAATCTGTATTACAAAAGGAATATCTGCCTTTCTGGCAAACAATGGCATATTAACAGGATTCTTGATGTTCATCACTAATTGTACAACAGCCCAAGAATATTCTTTTCCCAAACTGGCCATTTTTACATGGGCCTCACTGAAGGTAGTAACTCTTCCCTCTTCTTCATCTATTTTATGAGACTTTTATTGCTTACTCTCTGTGTAAAACCTAACTTATAATTTGACAAGGATTTACCAGCCCTCACTGAAATGTAGTATACTTTTGAAATTAAATGCTCTCCTATCAGCAATGAGTCTATTAAAAAATTACAGTTGCTGCAAAACTGATAACGTAAAAAACCCCTTGATAATGGATGGTTATGTTCTTTCTGTAGGTTTGGCAATTTTCCACTAATGGGCCAGTGTTTTCATCTCCGTGCCTCTCAAGTTTAACTAAGCAAGAAATATTTTTTGGCTCTCACGACTGCTTTATCTACTGCTGTAACATGGAGGGTAATTTACTGTGGAAATTTGAAGCCACTTCAAGTGTATATGGAACACCATTCATTTTCCAAAGTGATGACTTAAATAACAAAATTCTCTTGGCAGCAGTATCTACAGATGGCAAAGTGTGGATCCTGAATGCCAAGAGTGGAACAGCAGAAGCAGTAGATCAGCTTCCAGGCGAGGTTTTCTCCTCGCCTGTAGTATGGGGATCAAAGCTTGTTGTTGGCTGTAGAAATGATTATGTTTATTGTCTAGATCTGTATATAGCAGGAAAAAATAACAACTAAGACGTTCGGCTGCTTCATTTTTATTGTTTACATTTGTAAACTAGGAGCTCACACATGCTCTCTACCCCTCTGCCTATTTTGCTGCAGGCAAGAGATGCACCTTGCAGGCTTGTCCAGCAGGAGTTTGCAGCAGCAGTGTCCAGTGATGGAGGGACGATGGCTGCTGCTGAGCAGAGGGGGCACAAAGTGTGTAAGGTGCTATATTCCATAGCGTGGGTAGCAGGCTGTCCAAGGAGGGGTGTATTGCTTTCTCTGAGTCCATCCTTGCCTGTGCTTGGCTCTTCCTTGCACCAGACTAGTGTTTGTCTGTCTCTCAAGATTTCTGTGCCAGGCAAACTAACTCAAGTCCTTTTCTGAATCTAACTTTTAACTTGATTTCTAGAGGCACAGCCTGAATTTCATATACCTGGAAGGAGAGACCTGTTTATTGCACTTTGTACAAACAGAGTAATTAAACTTTTGTGGACCTAGGCCTGTCACAGCTTAATTAATCTAGCATATACTTAGACTCCATTGAAGTCAGTAAGAGTTATCTCTTGTAGTCTAAAGTGGAAATAACACTAAAAATATTTATTGGAATGGTTTGAGTTCCAAGATGAAGTGTGGACTGCTCAAATCAACCCTTGTCAAATAATTTTTTAAGCTATTTGAATGAATGCTGTTCACATTGTCTTCATAAGAACTATTAATAAAAGGTTGTGTAAATTGGGTTTTGTGTTCTTTAACACCTTAGAGATAAGTACAAGGGTCTTGGTACTACAAATCAAGTACTTACAGTGGCAAAAGTACACTTCACTGAGAGCATTTCCTAAGAGTCTTCTAAAAGAAGTATAATAGACACTCTTATCTTACTTTCTCTCATGAGCCATTTACTTTGAATCCTGTGTAGTACATAGTACCTTTGTTCTATTACCATCTGTTTGTAAAGCACGTTTAACATGTTTAACAGAATGAGACACAGAGGACATATATCAATGATTTGCTAATTTTGACCAGGTTATAGTTTAATAAGAATTAAAATGACAGTATAATAAACAATTGCACTTTAAAACATTTGAAAAATTAAAAAAGTACACAACAAATACCCCACAATTATACATCTTGTAGTTTTTATACATTACTATATGAACATAGAGGTTAATCATGTATAACCTTGTCAAAAGAAATGGTATTTTATGTTTGTATAAGTTACAAAAAATTGAGACAGTATACTACATAGTGGTTTATTCGGTTCTTAAAACATTTTTGCTGTTTTAAACTGGGTAGTAGTGTTTTGGATTTATTTTTACAGGTTTCAATACTTTATCAGAAATGGTTGCAACAAAGCTAAAGCAAAGTAACACTTCACTTCATTGGTATTTAGTGCAAATCTTTGTTAATTTAACATGAAATGTCACTGTTGCACATGTACACTTTAGAAATGTTTCCATCAAGTACTGTACATAATACAGTTTCCATTGTTACACTAGATACCTTTATGGTTGAAAAAAAACTCTGCTTTGAAGCTTTAGCTTAGGACCATCCTTAATGAAAGCTCTATTCTATGTGCTATAAATGGATTGCATTGGAAAATTGCATCCTTATGTCATGCACAATAGCACCTAATTTTGCTATGCTTTTCAAATTACTAGAATCTTTAATCCTGATTTACTTCACCTTCTCTGTATTTCTACCTGGCTCCCCCTCCCAAGAAAAAATTGTAAAAATGGATTTCAGGCAGTTTAGTTATTACATATCCATACTGCAGGCAAACTTGGAAAAAAATTAACCTTAAGATTCACTGATTCGTGGTGCTAGCAGAGCAAAAGTAACTACAGGGCCAATCCTTTCTTCAGATATTGAAGGCATTAAGTCGGGGTTTTTTTCCCAAGCATTTGAGAGCAACATTGTCTCATTTCTGCTTAAAACATATGAATTACTTATATTCATGGTAAAGGTTACTTTAGAGATTCTGATTTTAAATGTGAAACTGGGAAAAACTGATGGCTTAAGACACCCAAGAAAGATCATCTTGCTGCTGCACATGTACTCAATCTAACACGTCCATTGTATTTGTGCTACTGTAACCATGATACTGACCTTCTGTTTTCTGTTCGGTGGGAAAGGCTGTACTGACAATGGCTTTTGCTGAAATTCCTTTTTGATTCTGGGAGCAGAGTGTAAAACAGGTTTCTTTCTGTTTCCAGCATGGTTTAAAATGCTGTTTCTCATGCTGCTTACAGCAGTTTGGCTGAAACACTTCCATGAGACATATGTTGTATCATTCTATAATGATGTCATTTCTTTTCATGAAAATCTCTCCCTTCATGATGTTGTAAGCTTAAAGGTTCCTTTGAGCCTTATGTTGTAAGAAAGAGACTTTCAATTTTTTTAAAGTCTTCCTTCTAAAACAAACTCAATTGATTTACTTAATAGGGCGATATTTTAAAATGCAGACCTAGAGATTTCTGTGGGATGTTGGGGATAGTGATGTTTTTATTACATTTATGGACTTTGTCCTTTTTTTTGTAAGAGGGAGGGGGTGGGCATTTCTGTTTTAGTTACGTGAAGTAATAAAGTGTTCAATTGCCACACCAGATACCTGAGATGGGGTAAGTAAACTTTTTGAAGTGTTCTGACTGTATTGGTCAGAGTACAGGAAGTTATCTGAACTGCCTGAAGTTGCATGTGGAGTAAAATCGGGAAGAATGCAGAGTTAAAACTCCTAAAACTCTCACTAACTTAGCTTTCAGTTCTCAGTTAACTTCAGTTCAGCCAGTCCTACTCCTGTGGGAACTTACTGACACAAATTCTACAGGAATATGCATTCACACAGGAACAGGTTAATTCCAGTCAATTGATTTAAAGTTGTAATCCACAATTACTGTCTCTATGCAGCATAAATATGGCCAAGCACAAACAGTGATGCACTTAAATGACTAGAAGAAACAGTGAATCCCTGACTTCGTTCTGAGAGCTTAATGATATTTGTTTAAAAAATTGTGGCTTTTGAAGTAGGATTGTTTTCTTAGAAGTGAGAGTGTATAGATGTAGTGTATTAATCCTGTGATGGAAGAAGTTACCCTCAGCATTTGGATGGTACCATCTACTTATCATTTGTATGTGGAACAGTGTATCCTGAAGCTCTTCCTTAGGGAAAAAGCTTTCAAATAGCAGGCAGAACTGGCAGTTCATAGAGTTTAACATGTTTTAATAAATTATGACTTAAGAGAAGGAAACATGCATCTTTCCTTAATTTCAACAACAAAGTTCTGAAAAAATTGCTGAGATCTCAGCATAGAGATCTAAAATTCCAGAACTGAATACCAACAGAATTTTAGAAGCTTATTCTTTAAGAACCCTTATTCTGTTCTGGCCCTTATTATGATACCTGCTAAAATTTACATCCAGTCTCTGAGCACTCTCAAGTTTCTGAGAGAGTCTGGCTGTGAAATTTTTGTCATGACCTCTTTTAGCTATTTGTTGAAGCAGTGACTTGAGTAGACTTTACAATGAGCTAGAGCAAAATGGTAATCAGTTCAGTTTTCAGTCCTTCCAATACATGCATTTTCAGTTTTGTCATGTGTAAAAAGCAGAATAAATAAAAGAAAGCAATTAATAGTCAGCAATAGAGATGTAACTTCACAGTTTACTTTATGATCTGTGGACAGTCACTCCAGGCTTTTGCTTTCCTCTTGGCTAACGCAAGCCAGGCTGGTTCTGTTGACACTGGGTTAGCATCAGGCGTAGAGAATCTCTTGGCCACCTCCTTTGTCACTGGGGTCGATGGAACAGAATCTGAAATTTCCACTTTTTTATGGGATAGGGAGAGGGAAAAAAACCAACATTAGTTGAATCCTGTGCTTTGTTGCTGGATTCTAGAGATTTCACTTTTATGTGAAGATACTCTTAACACTAGATACTTATTTCCAATACTTTCAGTTAAATCTTGCTGTATTTGCAAAATAATAAAGTTAGGAGGAGCTAAGTTTCCTTTCTCAAAGGTTACTCCAAGTAATCTAACTCACAAAAATACGGACAAAATGTTTAGTCCTTGCCCCATCCAAAGAAAACATTTCCAATCTTCTAGTCTTCCTCTTTAAGCAAACAATGGGAAGTAAAGCTAGGGGTTTTTTTTATTCTCTTTGGTAATGCAGCTGCTGCACACATGTAAACCAAATGTATTCAGTAGCATTTAGATTCCCTCTTCAGAGAAGAAGGTGGTCCTATAGCTTCCTGCCTCAATTAAGCCTGCCCAAGAGACTGTCCTGAAAAAGAAAACCCGCTTTCCTCACTAGCTGTTTGCCACATTTTCTTCTAAGTAGTATAAGACAAACAGCTGTCTCCATAAGAAAATGTGTTTAATAAACAAATGATTTCTAAGAAGCAACTTCACGGAGCAAAACCATGGAAGTATTGTAGAAGTCAAATGGGAAAATAAATTCTGAGACAGTGAATGCCCTCGAAGGCAACCTGAATAGGAATGAGTCCTGTCTGAAACATACCAAGTAACTCTAAAAATCTTAGTTGCAAAATGACTCTTTACTCATCTCGCCAATGCCCCATCTTTACACATTTTCTTTTTTAGGAGCCAATTTTTTTTTTTCATGTTCAAGTTCCCAGTTACTTTAAGTTGCATTTTGAGGTTTTGAATGTGTATAAAAGCTTTAAAATTGTGTGGAAGCTTTAAAATTACATGGATGCAAAAAAATGCTCTATTTTTCTTTTTAGTGTGTCTTTAATCATATATTTTTATCTGCAAGTAAATGAACAGTAGCAGCAGCAATTTCTGTAGATGGACACTTTGAAAAGATAATGATTTTAAATACTATGGTAATTTATGCTGTTTTAAAGGTCCCACACTCTTATCAGTTCCTGTTGTACAAGTCACAAGTGCAATTTTGATATACACCACCTTCAAGTTGTGGGTGTTTTTAATGTCCTTAGAGGAGGACTCAGCAGACTTCCATTTTAAACATGTCCTAGGCTGGGCTTCTGTCTTAAATGCTCTTCTAACCATGGGAAGCCCAAATCGGTCTTATTACCCACAAATACTTGTATATATGTGTTGTTGCTAAAGGCTGCCTGGCTCCAAATATAGTCAGTAATCACAGGGAAATATAGTCACTATTTTTTAAGGGCCAATAGAGTTCTGTGCTTTCACTTCAGGTATTTCAAAATTGGCAATTCCTCCTCAATTTCCATCTGAACTGTTACTCTAGTGCAGCCAGAATGACCTTGGATAATTGGGTTTTGGCCCTTTGATCTAATTTGGCATCATCTATTGTGGTGGAGTTTGATATCTGCTAGAACTGACCATGTACAGCATAACACCATGCTGAGTCTTTGGGGGTAGGGCTGCAATAGAGCTCCTTTAAAATCTCACAGAAATGCTGTAAAGCATGAACATTTTGGGAAATTTATGTAAGATCTTAGAATGGTTTGGGTTGGAAAGGTCCTTTAAGGGTCATTGGCCAACCCAAGATGTTCCAAGTGAAGTTCTCAGGGACATCTGCTCTTGTGTGCAGCTACAGTGTGAAGATCCAGCTGCTGAATCAACTGAATATAGCCAGGTGTAGGGGTTTGTCAATTTGGGACAGTCTGTAACAAAGGAGTAGCTGGTTTAGCCTTTCACAAATCAGTTGTGTTACCTCATTGCTTGCAATAGTTACATTTTACAGTTCTTGGCTAGAGTGGTACTGAATAGATGCAGCTATTTACTTGCACAACTTTTAAAAAGGTTCCTTCAAGACCTATCTGCCCCAAGACCTTTCCTCTAGGACTAGTTAGCTGGAGATATACAGGCAAGTCTGTATTTCAACAATCACCTCATGCCACCCCAAATATTATGCCCTTTGGGGAAGTAATTATTTTAATTTACCTGCCTTTTGAATATGGGATAGTTTTGGCTTAAATGAAGTGATGTATAAAGCAGTAAGTTCTGGTTCCAACCTACCATGCCAAATATTTGACTGGGAGGGAGAAGTCCTAGATTCAAAGTAACAAACTGCCTTCAACTGAATTGATTATCTTTTTCATTTTTCAATAACCCCCAACCTAAAGGCAAAACAGTACTGCAATTGCAATTTACGGTAAATCAGATCCCTCTAATGTGCATTAGTTATGTTCCAAAAATACTGCTGGATATGTCTTGGGAAGACAGCCTAATTTCATTAACTTGAACTGGGGCAGTTCAAAGTAATAGAAGCAGTGCAGCCTTAATAACCTGGGGAGACTGGTAAAAGTCTGTTTAAATTATGTATTTCCATCCTAATGGCCAGCACATGATATGGGAATAAGTTGTGTTATTCTATGGAATACATTTGTAATTCTAGCAGCAGTTATGAGGGAAAGCAAACCCCCTCATTCACTTTCTCAAAAACATGCAATACCGCCTATAAAGTGCATTATTCCTAGAATGAATCTGAATCTCTCAACTGTACCTGTCACAGAAGTTGGAAGGGTGTTCGACTTTTTTAGATGCTCCCTTCTTTCTAGTCTTGACACAGCAGTCTCAATTTTCTTCTCTCCTTCTTGAGTTGTAGATTTCTGCAGTGTGTTTGTCTTGCTGCTGCTACTTTTATTATCTGACTGATTACTTACAGCAGCCTAGAACAAAAAAGGAAAACTACTAGATGAGAAAGTCTGTCATGTAATGGCTGCAAGTTAGAGATGACACACATGATGCTTTCATTCATCACCTGTCTTTTCCTTAACCTTCCTTTTTGGCAAAGGATCACAACACTGATACCTCTAAAACCAGCAGTCATTAAAGACTGTAAAAATCCCACCACAAAGTTTAATTTGTCATGTTGTCATTTCAGTCGAAATGCTGAAGAGTTTCAGCCAGCCCTCCCTGTTAAATGCAGCACTGAGACATACTGTGCATCTGTGGGCAACTTCACACCCACTGCTGTTTTCTTCCATCAGTTATCTATGTCTCAGGTTATGCATGTATCCATTAGAAATTTGGTTCTCATAACAAACAGCAAAATGTATTTAGCTATCCACACACTCTTCCTTTTTGCCATCTATGGAATTTACATACAACATCTCTGTGCAGCATCACTTTGGTACTGTATGTAGAACTGCTTCCCTTACTAACAGAAAACCTTGGAGAACAGGAAACTATTTGGAGAACAGGAAAGGATTCAATGCCTTCTTTAGGCATTTGGCTGTATCATGATTGTTCATTTCTTTTGTTCATCTGTATTTTACCCAAATAGTACATGCTGCAATAAAAATAAATTCAGACTTACTAATATTCACCTTTAATTGCATATGCCAGCTGTTATTCCCCAAGCATTAAATGTTAACGTCTCACGTAAGCTCTGAAAGAACCTACATTGCACTCAATTTTTATGTTCCATCCCCTGCACAGTAGTTCTGCTTATGATTGTCATTAACTACCACCTGATATCATCAGAGTTTACACTAAAATTGCCAAACTATTGCATTGTTTTTTTCTCCTGGAGGTCTCAGTTTTGCTAAAGGGAGCTCCAGACTGTCAGAATACCTTTTACTCACTTTTTAGCTTTTATGAAGTCTTACCAAACCTAAAAAAAGTATTCCCACATAAAAAAAAAAATTAGCTAACGGTTGTAATTATGGCATCAGTATTTCTAATGGGCAGGTTTCTAAAGATTGCTTACATTTTCTTTGGCCAGTTTTTCTGCTTGCTTTGCCTCTCTGGCTTGTCTTCTCTCTTCCCTCGTGGCTTGCTGCTCACGAAATCCCTTCTGCTTTTGCAGTGCTAATGTAATCCAAAGTGGTTGTGAAGTTTCCACTTTTTCCAACAATTTAGAGCCATCTAAAGAGTGTCTGCTCTGAAGGACAGGCTTTTCTGAAAGAAAACATGACAAGAATTGATTGAGTAATGCACATCTCTTGTCTTGAAAAAACCCCTACAACTTGTCTACCTTGTGAAAATGCTGGAGCTAAGCCCATTGAATGCCATGTCAGTCACAGACCTTTGAGGACTGCATGACAAATCCAGAAACAGATTTTATGCCTCAGGAATAAGACCTAATTCAACACACTCACCCAGCTGTCTGAATTTATCCTTTTTTTTTTAATGTGTGTGTGAAAAAAAGGAATAAAAAATCAGAAGTTCCACTGAGATAGTTTCAGAAGTGTTCTGATGTTTGAAAAATTCAAGAATGAAAAAAATGTGGTTTCACAATGAAATGGTGAATTCCTGCCTCAGTCTTTTGAGTGTCCTTACCCTGAAAGGGTAATTTTCTCTCTTGTCCAGGATACCATTTCAGGGCACAGGGGCTTTCAACTCTCCTCTGAAGAGACATTGTGGCTACTCTAATTTTTTTCATCACTGAAGACTGCCTCTGAAACACAGACTGCTGTGCCCAGCTCTATTGGTTAAATAAAGAATTTGCACAGGATAAGGGGACCTAGATTTTAATATTTTTTTAAAGTTAAATAACATTTCTTTAAAAAGAGGAGCAACAGAATGTAGATTTTAAAAATTACACTATCATCTCTGATAACACCATTATCCATGGACCACAGAGTCCATCACCTGGCCCACTAGAGGCAGAAGTAACATCTCTGCCAAGGAAAAACACACAGACTCTTCTGTTACCATTTTGAAATTAACTTTCTTAAGTAGGTTGTGCTGGTCACACTGAATTCATGGGCTTCTGAATTAAATTATGGGAAGTCACACTCCTTCAGCCCTAAGCACAGTAACAGTCCTCCACAAGTAACATACCAGGTAAAAATTATATCTTAAGATCAAATGTCTTCCTCTGGACCTCATTTCGGAAATGCAGACACAATTGCTAAATTTGCTTGGAAAGATACATACCTTTCTTCAATGGCTCAGGCTTTTTGTCATTTTTTTCTCTCCATGGAATGCTTAGAGATGGGAAAAATGACTTCTTTTCTTTGACTTCTTCCTCTTCATTTTTGTAGTCATTGGATGGTATGGGTTGGGCTGCATTTGCTCTGTCTTCTTTTCTCCATCCACCATCGGATTCAGCTTTAGCTACCCTTTGCCCCAGCATTTCAGATAGGTTTGATCTGTTCATTTTAGAGAGAGGAGATGATGGTGGGGTCTGGCTGGTGGGCTTTGGAGCTAAAGCAGGTTTTTGTGGGACCAGTGACTTGCATGCTGGTTTCTCATGAGCAGGTAGAGCACTCTGGCCGGTGGCTGGTGGGACCACTGGTGTGCCCACAGGTGGTGAAAACACCACCGTAACTGAAGAGTCTTTTAGATTACCAGGGATGTTTGCTCTCCCAGTGCCAGGAGAGGTACTTTCTTGTGGAGTGAAAACAGAGGATTCTTTCTCACCTTCTGTTGAGGTGAGTGGGTCAGGCACACCATCAAAACTGTCTCCTGCACTGTATCTTTTCTTTTTCTTTTGCTCTGCCTGTTGGTCATAATGAAAACGTAAAGAGTAGTTTGTCCTTCGTAACTTTATCCCAAAGGGAGAAACATTTTCTTCTCCATTTGGTGATGGTTTATCTGCTTTTTTTGTGCTGTTATTCTGCTGATTTTCTAGAGAATTGGGAAGTTCTGGCTGGGGTGAATCCTTCCCCACAGAATGTGGAAAACTTGGAACAAGGAATGATGGAAGATCTTTCGCAAATTTACAGCCTTCAGTGTTGTCTGTCACTTCCCTATGGGTTTCCATTTTCTCCTTAAGCTTTTCAGCTAAGTTATCCTTAAAAGTGGAAGCCACATCCTCCTTTGAATCAGCAGATGAGCCAGTGGTTCTCCCCACAGCCAGTGTTTCATTGCCTTTTGACACATTTACATTCTCAGCATCTGAATTGGTTTTTGAAACATCTGAAAATTTCTGCCATGCTGGTGTTATTGAGAACTTTGCATTTGCAGAGAGGGTTTTCCTCAAGTTGCCATGGGGAGCACCACGTCCTCGGGGTGTCCAGTCATCACTGTGCCTGCAGACAGCTACTCGGTCTTTCTCATTATATTTGTTGTTTTCTGCATTCTTTAGGATTCTGGAGCGGATAGAGGCCCACTCAGCCATTACAGCCTGGTTGTTCAAAGCCTCTTGTGCATGTTTCATTTTACTGCTGCTGGGTTTGGGATCCTGTTTTTTCCTCTCAGACTTCTCTGGAGAGGGAATATCCACATTCTTCCTCTCTTCTGTTAAGCCAAGTAATGATTTGCAAGCTGTGTCCTTAATCTGGTTCAAGTTCACTGCTGTGCCACACAGCTGTGCTCCAGTAACCAAAATAGCTGTGTGGGGTACACACACAGATGATGGGAGGGAATGAGAGCCCTTACTGGTAGTGTGCACCCTGCAGTCTTTGACAGATGGAGAAGAGAGTCCTGTTCCTTTGATGGGCATAACAGGACTCAGATTTACTTTCTGAAATATGATCTGTTTATCTCCAGAAGACACTTGAAATGTGAAGGGTCTGGATGCTGTTTGTCTTTCATCTACCTCCTGCCACCGAAGTTCTTCCCCTATGCGTTTTTGTTCCTGAGCCTCAACTTCTCTCTTCAGTTTCTGGGCTAGTATTTCTTCTGCCGTTTTAGTCCCTTTTTCTGGCTGCTTAACTTTTTGGGAACTTGATCCTTCTTGGAGCTTCTCCTCTGCTGGATGCGTATCAGCCACTCCAGCAGAACACAACTGATCTTTTTCTTGTGGTTGTTCCAAGGATTTTTCTTGTTTTGGATGAAGATTTGGTCCTTCTGTGTCTACCTTCTGCTCTTTCAGCTTATTCCATTCATGTCCATTTGGTTCCTTTTGCTGCTTCAGTTCATCTTGTAGAACGAAGTCTGAACTTTCCATGTGCATTTGTTTTGTGAGTTTGTGTTTCCTCTGCTCTTCCCGTTTCTTTTTCTTATCTGTCACTTGCTGGGGTTGTCCCTTCTCTGTCTTTTCTTTCTCCTTCAAATGCTGTCTTTGTTCCTCCTGTTTCTTCTCTTGTTTGAGGCTCTCAGGTTCTTTCTCCTGCTTCAGTTTTATTTCAACTTCTTCAAGCTCTTTCTCTTCTAGTTCTTGTTGCTGTATTTCTTCCTTATTTTGTTTCTTGAGCTCTTTTTGTTCCTCCAGCCAGTTTCTTTCTTCTTCCTTTTGACTGTCTTTTTCAGACCTATGTTGCCTTAATTCTTCCAGTGCTAGCCTCTTCTGCTCCTCCAGCTCTCGTCTCTGTTTCTCCTCCAGATCCTTGTGCTTCTGCTCTTCCCATTCTTGACACTTCTCCTCCTCCAATTCCTGATGCCTCTGCTCTTCCTGTTCCTGGTGCTTTTGCTCCTCCAGCTCTCGTCTCTGTTGCTCTTCCAGTTCCTGGTGCTTCTCTTCCTCCTGCTTTAGTCTCTGCTGCTCCTCCCCTTGCTGTTGCCACTGCTCATCCAGCTCTCGTCTCTGTTGCTCTTCTTGTTCCTTGAACTTTTGTACCTCCAGCTCTTGTCTCAGTTTTTCCTCTTGTTCCTTGAGCTTCTGCTCCTCTGACTCTCGTTTCTGTTGTTCCTCTCGTTCCTTGAGCTTCTGCACCTCTAGCTCTTGTCTCTGTTGTTCCTCCTGTTCCTTGAGCTTCTGCTCCTCTGACTCTCGTTTCTGTTGTTCCTCTTGTTCCTTGAGTTTCTGCACCTCCAGCTCTTGTCTCTGTTGTTCCTCTCGTTCCTTGAGCTTCTTCTCCTCCAACTCTTGTCTCTGTTGATCCTCCTGTTCCTTGAGCTTCTGCACCTCCAGCTCTTGTCTCTGTTGTTCCTCTCGTTCCTTGAGCTTCTGCTCCTCCAACTCCCGTCTCTGTTGTTCCTCCTGTTCCTTGAGCTTCTGCACCTCCAGCTCTTGTCTCTGTTGTTCCTTCACTTCCCAGCGCCTCTTCTCCTCCAGATCTTGTCTTTGTTGTTCCTCTAACTCCTTCTGCATCTGCTCCTCCAGCTCTTGCCTTTTTTCAGCCTTCATCAGTCTTCTTTCCTCTTTATGGCATGTTTTCTCTTCTATTTTCAAAGATGTTTCTCCTTCAAGGAGGTATTGCCTCCTCTCTTCTTCACAACGTCTCTTTTCCTGTTCTTTCCGCATCTCCTCAAGTTCTTGGCACCTTTTTTCTTCCATTTCTCTTTGTTCTTCCATTTCTACAATCTGTCTTATCCTTTCAGCTTCAAGGATACCCCAGTGATCTTCAATTCTTTTTTCCTCTGCCAGCTTCTGCTCATCTCTGTCCTGGATTAGCTTGCCTGCTGTGAAGCGTCCATTATAACTTGGGTATAAGTCCTCATACAGCTGAGTTTCTAGGTCCTCTGGCTCAAATTCTGTTATAGTTAAACTTTGTGATCCCTAGAATTGGAGACAAGTTTGGGGTTACTGAAATTGCCTGTTGGCTTGTTATCCTTTGTAGTGAATAAAGAGTTGCAAATGCAAAAAAAAAAATAAAAATTTAAACAGTGATTTAGATGAGCCAACACTCCCCACCCCAATTTATGGATTACATCATCATAGATCCCATGTCTCTCACCTATTCAGATGATAGTCTTTAAAAGAAAGAAAACATCCCAAGAGTGATAGCAGTATAATGCCAAACATTCAATCACCATTTGTTGTACATTGAGACCTGCCATTTCAAATTTGCAGAAGCCCAAGGAACAGAGCGTAAGTTTCATATGCCCATTCTCCTTCTACCACTCCATCCTTTAAGCCTGAAATAATTAATGCCTGCTTTGGGGCATTGTTTTGCCAGTTCTTTCATGGCAAATCTGGTACTTGCAGAGACAGAGCTGTTGCCTGCAGAACAAAAGCTCTGCAATGCTAGCCAGGAAAGAACATTCCTCAGGGAAATACAATTTGTTTTCTTTTCACAAATCCTGAGCCAGGATATCTTCCTCATTAGCTGTGCTGAGACTCCAGTACTATTGTAGGAACCGTGGGAACATGTATGGACAGCACAGTTAGAGCTTCCCAGGAACACTGCTCTGTTTTGTACCTGGAGAGTGCTTCTCTAAGGAAACAGCTCAGCTAGTGTTCTGTCTAGCTATCATTTGCTGAGCCATCACTTGGCTCCAGTTAACCATTGTATAAACAAGAGGTTTAAATTAAATTTCTTCATTGCAAGAGTGATAAATGCAAGTACAGTGGTACAGAAGAAAGCAAAGTAGCCTCTCCTGAGCCCTGTGTAGTTGAATAGTCTTGTCCCATTCACAAGAACTAATAAGATGTCAGGATAAAAACCAAAACAGATGTGTGGTAAGTGTACAAAGCTACAATTCTATATTTCTCTTTATAGCTGTTGCAAGAGCTACATTACTTAATTCTTATTCCTTCTTACAAGGCAAAGATATTATACCTGTCAGAACCCATGCCCAATTTAGAGAATCTGACTTTTCCCAACCAAATTTTGCACCATCTGATTGCCTATATCAGAGCACTATTAACAGGAGCACATATCTTCAGGCCTTTATGACCTAAAGTTTTTACTAGAAAAACTAGAATCAGGAAGCTCTCCCAATGTAAAATTGTAGTGGAAGTACTTCTTATTGGAAGTCACAACTGCCAATATTAAAACTTCTTTGTATCTTCTCTCCAGCTAGGGTTTCAGATAAATAACAATGTTAATCAGATCTTAAATCCTCTGTCTATAGATCCTAATACACTCAATTATGGTTATTTTGGGCCCAGTTTCAAAAGTAATTGCCCTCCTCTCGCTGTTTGGCCAGTTATTTAATACCTTTGTCAATCTCTTGTGCTGTCTTGACATCCTCTGCTTTTTTGGCTTCACTGACAGCTTGTGCTTAGCTGCACTGTTGTCTAGACGAGCAAGAGCCTGGGGAACTGAATCCAAATTGATTGTTTCAATTGTGCCAGAACAGGAAAACTGTCTTTTTGGCCGAGCTGATTTAACTGGAGTGATCTGTTTGTATCACAAAGACAAGAAACCATTATTAACCTATTTGTTCCATTAATAAATAAATAAATACATAAATAAATAAATTACACACATATGCACACACATCTTTGCAGGTTTTAAATTAAAGGAATTATTAGCAGAAAAGATTTGAAACCCTGGCTTTCCATTACACAAATCACAAACTTTGGACATGAAAGTTACAGCTGTAATATTTTCCCATTTTCAGTACAACACACTGTTATTGTTTTCACTTAAAAATTACTTAGACCATTCTATTGAAGTTTTTTCACAGTTTAGCTCACTCTGAACTTGTTGGGAATGGGAAAGCACAGGCAGGGTTTTAAACAACATCAAACACTGAGATAGTTTAAAGTTTGCTTACTGTGAAAAAATGTCTACATCTTTAAATAATTTAGATTATGCACTTCAGGCAGAAGCAAATCAGATTGACTTATCTAAGCATCATAATAGAACAGCTACAGTGCTGTACGCCCTGCATGGGAGAGGACTGCAGCACTGGATCTCAGACTGGCACAGTGCCTGTGGAAAACCTTCCCTCCAGAGTCATGTGGAGTTATCCAAGACAGAGCCGAAGAGCAAAAAACTAAAGGCAACACTGGCTTTGATGGGTGCTTTATTTCTCATGCCCTTCAAATACTTGGGTTCAGAAAGTGTAAATATAAGCAAAGTGATTCAGTGAGGCTCTTTTTGTGAATAAATAGTGGAACTGTATGTCTGGGCATGTAAGACTGAGCCTGTCATCTGTCTCTTCTGTAAGTCATCAAACTATCATCCCAAGACTTGCATTTGGCATGGCACAAATGGAAAAAGAAGACAGAGGGGGGGAAAAAAAAAAAAAAGAGAAAACATCTTCTGTGAGGAAAGAAATCACATACATTGTTTTCAAGACAGCTCTGTAATCTTCTGAGGTTAAACATATGCTAATCAAGGAACCAATTACTTAAAAGCTGAGGGAACATTTTGCATATGCTTATTGAATTACATGCAGGCATAACAAAGTAGTAGAAGTACTTATGAAAATTATGACTGTGTGATTAATACATCAAATAGAGGAATGCTGCAAGACTGGCAGAAACTAGGTTCTGCTGTTTCCTGCAATCAGCTTTTAAGATTTCTCAATGTTAGTTATTGCTTATTTACTAGCTCCAAAACTGTACAGCATTCACAAAATGTTATGATCAATCAAACAATGAAACAAAGAAAAAAAAAACTGTCAGGCTTCTAATATCTAAAATTAGAATGTAACTCAGAGCAAACCAAATGTAAAAGTTTTTTTTACCTTTTCTTCCATTTCATGTCCTGTTCCAAGAAAATTCATTTTTCTCAAGAAATCTGGAGTGTCAGTGGACTAGAAAAGATTACCACAGACAAGTATTAAAATGTAAAGGATCTAGTAAATATGATTCAAAGGACTTGTGAAATCATGTATGTTAGGATAAGATTTTTCCTTCTTTTCTATCACTTCAGGACTGATGGATAAGCAATTCTTCCTCCTACAAGCTCTGAGCTTGTATTCACTGCTCCTTGAAACACTACTGTGTGCACAGCACTACAAAAGGCAAAACATTCAGGTCTCCTTAACAAGATAATCAGGATCCAAAACAAAAGAAAGAGCACAGCTTTGTAGGATTTTGATCAGGTCTCAATGATTTTATCTTCTCCTGACTTACGCATAAAGAAAAAAGATACTAACCTGTTCAGGCATTACTTCTGCTGCAAGGAGCTTCAACTCCATGTTACTGATAATTCCTTTTACAGAGCTAACAGTCCCCCAGGGTGATGGAAGCCAGGAAAGCTAGGACTCTTTAGCTACTGTCCCTCTCCAAGCCATCATGGAGAGGAATTTTCAAGGCACAGGGCTTGAAGCAGCATTCATCACACACAGAAACATTGGTTTTAATCATTCTATCACAGTATTACTTAGTAACCTAATGAGTGTTGGGATCCCATTACACCACATGATTGTTAATATCAAGGCTAAAAGCTCAGCTTCACAACTACTGGTTAAATTAAACCCAGAACTCTTGCCACCAACCCAAGTCGCTCAGTCGGGAAAATCGGAAGTAAGCATCACAAGAAATCTGTTCAAAGTAGAGCAGATCCATGTGGTCCTGGCCACCAGTTTTTTATAGAAGCCACCCCACCCCCAAGGCCTATGCAGATAGACTTAGAAGGCCAGCAGATGAGACAAGAGCAGAAACCAGGGAGCTGCCAGAAATCTCTGATAACACAGGTAAGTAGTAGTGTGCAGAAACCAAAGGAAAGTACCGAGTGCTCTGGCCGACACTATCCATGTAAAATTGGTTTGTTTGAGTCTACTGCCTCTGACTAGGAATGGTTGCTCCTTCAGTGTTTGGAAAAAGAATTATGCAAGGGGTGTGCATTTTGTTTTCAAAATGTAATATTTTAAAGAGTAGGTGGTAAGAACTGAATTTCTCCCTTCGTAATATATAAAATTCCTCTTGCAGATTATTAGTGCTTGAACTGTTGCATCCTTTGAGCTGGAAGTCTCTAGGTGGCATTAGGGTCTCCTGCACAACCCAAGAAGAAGGCTGTCTGCAGAGAATCTATGTTTATCTCAAACACAGACTCACCTAGCACCAGGGAAGACAGTGCATTGCCAAAACCTGTCCACAGTCCCACTGCACACTTTGTGCTCTGAGGCACACAGGATGCTTTTGATTCACCTTACCTGATTGCACCAGAAAGAGTACTTCTTAGGCAAAAAAATATACCTTAATTTGGTTTAATTTTTGTGTTTCCAGACTGCTAAGGGAGACTGTGAGTGTGCAGGTCCTAACCAAATGCCTGGCTCCCTGGCAGATTGAACCACAGCCATGAAAGAAGTGCTCACAGAGGAGCTATGTTGTCCCTTAAAGACTGATGAAGAATTTGGGCCAGCTCAGCCATAAACCTCCCTTCTGAGTGTTTGTCTGAACACAGGCATGAATTGCACAGGACCCTTGGTGCCTCTGCATTTCACACAGGCAGAGCTAGTGTTAGTGAACAAGAGCAGAGGCTCCTGCCCCCGTGTCCCAGGATCCTAAGGGCTGTGTGTACATACTGGCGTGCTGGATGCCTTCCCCAAGGGTTCCAGGCAGAGTCAGCCTCCTCCAGGCATGAAAGGTGGTCACTGTACTCCTTTCTGCCATTACAGCAACACACTGAACCAGTCTTGCCTTAGAGGATTTCCAGAGACCTTTCCTCACTCACCATGTTTCTTCACTGTCTGAACAAGACCTTTCTGGATGACTAAATGCCCACAGCATCAAAATCTCTATGTATAATTTGAAAAAATTATTTGAATTATACTGGAATTTTTATTTTAGGGAGCATTCAAAATGCTTCTCCCCCTTCTTCATCTTTGGTTTCTGTCCATGAGAAATATGCGTACTTACTCTAAGACCTAGGATTTAGGCTTCACACACCTCTCATTTTGAAATGATTTTCCTTTTTGGTATTTGATGTTGTGAACAACTTTCCTTGCTGGGAAGTCCGTATTTTAAAATCTTTTTCTGTATTAGAAAAATTCCCTGTGTTCTAGCAACACTGGAAGTAATGTCTGCACTGCTGGAACCTCAGAGCAAACACTCAAACCAGTAATTCTGTGTGACCTGGCTCAGGATGCCAAGAGCATGCTTCCCACCAGGCCAAGAAGCACAAGCTGAGAGCTCCCTCCCACATAAAACAGCCCACTGAGCTCTGCTACGCCTCACTGGAAACATCTGCTACACCTCAGTGAACTTTGCTGCTTTAGTACTGCTCTAGTGCCACGGACATGTCAATTTAAAGTGCTTACTTTATTACCGCAGTCTGAGATCACCGTGTCCTGCTGGGTCTCCATCTCCACGGAGCTGCTGAGCAACGCATCCTCTTCTGGACTGGCGTTTGCTTCCCCCATTGTCCTCGCAGAAACTGTCATTTGTGGAGGCTGCCCAAATTTTATATTTTTGGCCAACTGTTGCTGAAAAATGAGAAAAATAAAATAAACAAAACAGTGATATATATTACAAGCAAAACAAGCCAAGTCCAGCCAGTGCCCCTTCTCTGCCTGAAAGCTGCACAGAAATATTCTGGGCAGCTTCTGACTCTGGACAAAAAAAAAATAAATAAAAAAAAATCCTGAGGCTGCAGCATGATGAGCACCCTCCTTTCCCTCAGAAGGTGACTAAGGTGAGGAATTTACTACACAATTTCTGATTTTATTTGATCAATTTGAGCTCTTGACGGTGTTGCTAACTTTTGAAAATTTACTATGAGTTTTGAAACACTCAATTTCTTTTTAAAGTCTGTGTTCTAGGTTAAGACTTTGTTTATAAAAACTAATTATGAAGCCTTATTGTTGTGAAGAAATAAGCTTATGAGAAAAGTGTACACTGAGAAACTAAAATTACCCCAAAAGGCAACCTTTTTCTTTTCTAGCCCCCAAACCCTGCATCTCATTCGTTTGTATTTCTAAAATGTATCCTTTCTGTAATGTTTAATCATAGGTTTATCATGTTAAGGGTTTGGCACAGCCCTGCCTTAGAGAGGCAAATTCTCAAAGCAGGGGAAACCCAGCTCTTTTAAATGCTTGATCTCATAGGAAGAATAGACAAACTCATGTCTGCTCATGCTCATGAGCACTGCCAGTCACTGCTGTTGCACAAAGAAGTTTAGGCAGGGGACATGGGAGATGAATGGATAAAAAAAGCTTTCAAAGGTTACAAGGAAGTGCTCTTGAATTACATCAAGCATTAAGATGAATAAAATAAGAAGCATACGCTATGTGTCCTCTAGCAAGGTGAGTTAGAAATTGCAGTCCTGGCTGCTGCAGAGACATGTGCCATAAAGACTTTGAACTTTTGCAAGAGAGAAGACATTCTCTAGAAGGAGCAAGTCCAGCAGGGAACATTTATGAATATATTCTTTTCCTGAAATATTTCAGGGAATCATTCTCAATCAGTAAGGAAGGGACTGGGGAGTTGTTTTCCTGCTTTGCTGTTTTTCAGGGACAGAAAATTCTCCAAAGGTGATCTTCCATTTTTGACTTGTGATACAATGAACAAGTAATTCAACTGTGCTGCTTTTATTCGGTGGAATACTTACACAGTACCCTGACATAAGTTTGCTGCTGAGAGCTGTGGAAGATTGGAGTAGACAGTAGATAAAACAAAGATTTTTTTTTCCCCCCCTATAGCATAGAATCAGTAACATGGAGCACACTTGAGGAATTGTTAAGGGAAGATATCTTCTAAAGGAGTTCAGTTCAGATTAGTCTTTCTTGCCATAGTTCCTAGTGGTCTAGACTCTTGCATCAAGTTTATCCATATTATCCCAAAAACATTAACAGATTTCTGTATTGAACCATTAAAACAAAAATTGCATGCAGAAACTCCTTATAATCAGGCTATTAAACTAGAACAGCTCTTCTCAGTCTCCTCACTGACTTAGAGTTAGTTATTGATGCCCATTTGAATTCTGGCAGAGAGTGGTGAAATTCACATCGTAAAGCATTCTGGCATAGTGGGCAGTTCTGAATGGCAAATTTTTATTCCCACCTGGATTACTGGCAAGTAATCTAAATGCAAGGGTTTCACCAAGTCCTTGCAGGCTTTTATGTTAACAGTGCAACTCTCTGACTTGAAAACTCACATGCTTACATAGTGTACATGGGAGCTGGTGTGGGCAAAATGGTCTGTATGAGATCGCGTGAGGCCTTCAGTTCTGCCCTACTCCTGCAGGCCTTTTGATGCCAGAATAAAAGTATTCTAGAAAAAAGTCTTAATCTGACAATGTGTTTTCTAAGTTGAGATTGCTCCTTTCTTCTTCCTAAAGTCATGTTCCGAGAGAAATAATTCTCTGGGGCAGAAAACTGGAGCTATCAGCATTACTGAGCAACCACCTAGGAAACGAAGGGTCTGTGCATCTTTTCCATGGTGAGAACATGCACATATTAACATATTGCTTGCAGTGTCTTTTGGAGGAAGGGATGGTGAGTTACCCTTTTGATCTGTTGGCAAGTTCTCGATGTAAGTGTGTGTACAGTGTGAGGTGGGAGCTCAGTGATGGAGCTGCTGTATGGAAAGTCTATGCTTGAAAAAGAATGGCCTTTTTACTACCATCAAGGTAATAGAAGATCTACAGTAACCATGTGTTTTTCTGAATATAAAAGCTTAAAATGTTATTTTCCCTTATTTCCAAGAAATATACTATCCTCAATATATATAGACTGTACACAGTCATGACTGTTTTTTGGTTTGTTTTGACCAGATTTATCTTAAAAAACAAAAAGCTCCACTAGTAGGTCTCAACTGGCCAGTTTCTTTAGGTGCATTCTAATCTCTAAAGCTGACACTAAATACCAAATGACCAAACTCCAAAATCTCAAATAGCTCATTGTAACTACTGAGCAAATGTATTCTTATTGCTTTTAAAGAGTAATGCTAAACCTGCTTCTTGGTCTTTTTTTAGAATGTACTTATAATGTAACTACAATGCAATTACCCTCTCAGAAAAATTCCACACCGATGCATTTTCTACCTGGTCAATCATAAAAATTCTAAAAATGCATCATCCATGAAAGAAAATAAAACCCCCACAAATTTTACGTAGAAGAACACTCAGATAGTCTAGCCCAGAGATACATGGAGAGATACATCAGTTTAAGATGCAAGACCTTTGAAAAGATACCATAATCCCTGAAAAGGAGCATCTGCTTTAAATTTCTCAAAAGTTTCAGTTAGATATATATTTCTGAACACATAACTATAAATCCTCTGTAGTTAAGAATTCCCTGTGCTGACAGTTTGTGGATGATTGTTGTCTAAGGAGGATTATTTGTAATGCCAGTCATTAGAAGTTGCAGGCATGGCATTTTGTTCTTCTGCCATTGCAGTCATGTCTAAATAGCCTTTTGAAAATCTCCACAGATGCATATTGGGCACAGTCAAAGGATCTTGGTCTCCTTTGGTCTGTTCAAGATTTGTAATTTAGCAGCCAGAAACCACCATCTTGCTCTGAAATCTCTGGAGACACCACACACAGGGGAGCTTTAGACAAGATCCAGGCCAGGTTTATATCATCCACATTTTTTTTTTTTTTCTGTAAGATTCATGAGGTTTCTATAAGACTCCTGATAGTTTTTCCATTCACACACAACCTGGGTGGCTGTCAATGTGACAGTGAGGTAAGGAGCAGGTCTGCACATCTAATACAAAAATAAATACTGGGAATTTAGCAAAAAAAATGTTGAGTTTGCGCTCATCCAATTTTTAAAATCTTCCTTGGTAACTGGACAGGCCCACTTCTATTTCATGCAAAATAATTGTTAAAATGTGATACTCTTCAACTGACACCAGCCTCCCATTAATAACTGAAGGAATCAAGCTCCTAAGAAAAATTGTTCTGTGTTGTCTGGCACCTGCAGCTAATAAAAAAAGCCCAGACTTTCAAAGGACTCTTTTCATTTGCATAGGAAATGCCACAGAACAAGTTTTCCATATTAATTGGCAAAGAGCCCAGATGAGGCTGTACATCTCCTCTCTCACTCCCGTTTGGCTTCTATTCTGTGTACATGCCTACTTGCATGTGTGTTGGATTCAGGCCCCTGAAACTACATCATTCTTAGGGCTTCATGCCTGGAGTGAATCCAAAACTGGATCCGCTGAGCTGCTTCAGTAAAAAAACATTAAAACAGAGTGTACTGTTTCAGCTGATTCCATTCAAACAAGGCTTCCAAGAAATGCTGGTCATAGCTTCCCTTCAACTCAAATATCTATTCTACATGTATGTTTGCAATGCCTAAACATAACAAAGCTTGATTGAAATTAAATTTTCTAGTTATATATAAATGAAAAATAATGACTTAATTAATACTTGTCCCAAAAATAGGCACACTGTTGAAATTCTGCTTGGTCCTGTACAGTCTCTCAGAATGACACAAAATCAAATGCCTTGGGAATACATAAGCACAGGGTGAGCCCATACTGAGATGTTGCTTGCAAATGCTCCAATGATTTGTGGCATCTGAGGAATTTTTGTACAGTCCAGCTTTGCTTAAATAAATATTTCTTTTGGTTTGGAAGTGTTATTAATTTCAACTGTTGTTCATGTGTTCTCAGGCTGTGAAAGACTGAATTGTACTATATTAATTTCATCAATTCCACTCATTATTTCAGGCATCTATATCATATTGTCTCTTATAATTTCTCTTCTAGGCTCAGAAGAGAGTTCACCTAATTTATGGTGAACTATGGAAGTGTTAATCAAAACTGGAAAATCTGCAGCATATCTAAACAAATTAAATACCCCAGATAAGCTTTTTTTTTTTTTTAATAAAGGAGAGAATAAACTGGAAAGTGTCATGTGAAAAGTTGTATTGGTATAGCTTTAGAAAATAATCCAGGTATAAAATTAATATTTAAACCCATAGGAAACTAGGAAAATAACAAGTATTAGCACAGATGTTTTGGATACAAGATTCAGGGAGAAAACTATTCCACTCTCCATTGCTGGAGCAGGTTAGGGGCATTACATTTGAGGACATTACACTTGTGGGGAGAGTCTAAAATAGAAGAACAGTGAAGGAGCAAAGTGTAAATGGGCTTCTAAAGTTGGGTGCTTGCAACAAATCCAGACACAAATGGAGATTTTGGTGTACAATGGTGACAGATCACTTACACATGCTCATGTGTAAAAAGATTTTGTGGAAAGGCTTGAAGATACTGCATCTGTGGCATTTGTCACATCAGTCTCTCCTAAAGCAAAGCAGATGCAAAGAAGGAAAATTTTCCTTCCCTGGAAAGAAAGCTCATTTTCAGGGACTACTGTTTTCATAGGAAAAAGAAGGTCTGCCCAAGAAATGCTAGAATGATTTAGAAAAAAAAAATATAAATTCAGTTTATAAAGCAAAAAGAATTTTGAAATATGAGGAAAACATTTAGGCTGCAGTGGCACTAGAAAATATTGGCAACAAAGAAATTAACTGTAAGAAATACAAAGCTAGGCAATCATGAAGTCAAAATTCACTCCCAATTCTGAGAAATTCAGAGTATCACAGTAAAAGATAATAGCTTTGAGGTTTGAAAAATGGCTTTGTAGTTTTGTTGAGATCTGGGCAATAAGAAACAGAAGATACATTGAGAGTAGCTGGTAGAATACAGATGTGCAGTGCACAGTGAGGGAAGCATTGGCTTAGTCATTAGCTAAGATATGCTAATGACTAAAAGAAATGTAATCCAAAATTGAGCAGTCACAAGGTCTGACAAGAAGAAAATTATAAGGGTCATTCATCATTACAAAATCAAGGAAATACAAATTTTAAAAGGTGTCCTTCTGCATTTGACTGAGAAATTTGGATTCACAAAAAAATGTTTTATCGTAAGTAATATCTGTATAATAAATAGATGCTTTATAGTTTCACAGAGCAGAGAGTTTGTTTTAAACTACATGGCCACATGAAACAAAAAAGATGTAATCCAGTAGTTCCTAGAGGCCATAAGTCATATGTCACAGTCAATCTTTAATATTTCTTGCAGCTGACTGCTGCAGCCTCACAGATAGATGTCAGATGACCCGAGATAATTTCAGTGAAGGCGAGCAGTGGAGAACAAAGGCAGCAGCAGTGCCACACCATGGCATTGTTCCAGCAAGTGGGAGAGAAGAGTGTAGATGCTTCATAAAACCAATGTTTTAAACAAGCTTCCATTTTGCTTGCTGCAGTTTTTATGAGTCTGAAATAAAAACTCTCTTCTGTTCATTTGCTGACCGTTTCTGGCAAATATCAGAGAGAGGCAGAAGCTAAAAAATGTCAGAATATTGTTCTAAGACACTTTGATGGGAGAAAGGAAGGATGTAGAATGAAGCTCCAAGTGTTGGGTTGTGGGGTTTTTTTCTGACATGCTGCTAGATTTACGTTTTAAACATTCCTTGTGTCTCGTTCACAGCCCTGCATTGACAACTAAAGCAAGATCCCCAGAAACTAAGAGAGTTCAACATTAAGAGAACCAGTGCCTATGTGGGAGCAGGTTCAGGCTGGCTTACTACACTGGATCTTAAAAATTAGGTAATGATGAATCTCAGCAGTTCCAAAGGACAAGGAAAAGACTGCTTTTACAACAGCAGATGGCTTGAACCAACAAAAAATAACTTCAGGATACAAAAGGGCTAGTGAAGGTTTATGAGAGGTGAGGCTTTTCTCAGCCTGACTTCTAGCACACAGTAAAACCTTTGAACATGACCAGATTCATTTACAGAAGGCATGATAAGATGAATACTGCCAATTTGAAAATCAATAAAACCAAATGAGAGCAATTCCAGAAAGAACAAATTTACCTTTCACGCGTAATTAGAAAGAGAGAATTCCCACAATAAGCAGCTGAACCAGTGCACAGGCTGGCCAGCTGCCCAGAATACTATGGAGTTTGCACCATTACACAACATTTTTTGTGGGTTCATCAACACTCTAAAGTCAGCAGAAATGCAAGGCAAGAAGGGAGAAACACTTTGGTGGCCCACAGAATGAGATCCAGCACCATCAGTATTAAATGGCTTGCCTTTCTATTCTGACTTCAAAACCCTTTTCCCCGTGCTGTCTCTTAGGTTTGCAAGCACAGGGACTTTTCCAAAAAAAGATTTAGGTTTTCCAGGAACATTTACTGTACCACCTCCAAAAAAATCCTGAAAAGGGTTAAGAGCTTTTGATCTCCACTTGGGATGCAGCAAGTTTAGAGTCAGCAGGGGAGCATGGAATCCTGGCAACAACTCTTTACTGAGGGGCACCTTGCCAGGTAAATGGAAACTGGGAGTGCTGTGCTTCCACCCTGACATACAATCCTGGCAAAACCACCGTAGTGCTGGTGGCACAGCGATGACCTGGGACTCAGGGCTGGCCACAGAATTGCCTTTAAGGAGCAGAGTGCTCTTCAGAAGAGAGGGCTGTCTCTTCTTAACCCACCACTTTAAGAAATACAGATGTCCCCAGTTGGAGTTAGCTTGCAGAAAGAGATTCCAAAGTAGATAGAAGCTTCTGGTATCGGGAGATGGAGTATCAATGTTTGCTGTGGCTGAAAAATCACACAGCAAACACTGGCTCATAGAATAGCAGGGAAAAAAAGATGGGGTATGGAATGCATGAAACCTTCAAACAGGAATGATTGTCCAAATAACTCATCAGACCTGGGACTCAAGTCTAAGGTAAATTTAAAACGTGCAATGGGATTTTAGCATGACTTTGTCTTCAAAGAGAACAGTTGCAGAAATCATAGCTAGAGAAACGGGAAAAGTTACATGGTGGGCAGCAATTTTTGAAGATACAAATGTGGTCCCTGGGCTTATTATAGGGAAGATTTCCATGGGTTTACCAAAAAAATTCATGGACATTTAGATGAATGTATAACTTCTATGTAAGTACTTAAAAGTGTAACTTGGAATCTATTATGCATTTCTGTTCTGAATGAATAAGTGGCTCTCACCATCATCATCAGAGTTGAAAAATGAATCTGCTATGTTACAGACTAGGTTCCTGCTACACTAAAATGACAAAAATGAACTACCATCCTTCAATTTCAAATAAAAAAGCAAGCACATTTTTTACATCAAGCAGCTGAAACAATATTATCCCTTAAAATACATGCAATTAACTGCATTAAAAAAAGGTTTATGCAAAGTTCACATAAGCAAGAGAGTACCACTGGCTATTTCATGATTTTCCAGGGTAACATTTTGCTCTAATTTTCTTGATTCAGCATTTACTTAGTCAACACAGTTGCTACACGTTAACTATACTTTTTCTCAGGTGTCTTAGTTTAGCAAAGGCAACAATTTCCATTGGGAATTTTATGCTTTTGAAAGGAGTGAAAACACCTCTGGAAGTGAAAAGTTACTCAGAGAAAAGCTAATACACGGAAACCAAGGAAGCAAATCCAACAGACAGGGAGGGCACAGCTTCCCGAAAGAGTCGGTGGGCTTTGTAGGACATTGCAGGTCAGATCCACATAGCTCAGGTCTTCACCCAGAATCAGCAGTCATTTTAAATATAATGGTTTCCAGCCTGGAAAATAGCGTGCACTGAATCTACCTGACCCAGGGAAATTTAAGCTGAAAAACCAGCACAGAGGAATTGGAGATGTCCTAGTGTGGTTTCTGCTTCAGAGCTCATCCACAGTCAGCACAGCTAGTACCGTGCAGGTGCTCTGTCTGCTGACAGCACCAGGCAGGAGGCAGGGACAGTTCCATCCTGAAGGTCGGAGCTGTCTGAATGTGCATGATCTCTCACTCACCAGGAAAGATGGATTGTGGGCAGACTTCAGAGGTAAAAGAAATCAATGGTATTTTACTAGTCATCTTCAGGGTAACAGCACTTGCACAGCATTAAAAATTTATCAGCATTTTGACAGGATATGTCAGCATCCTGAGCAATAAAGTGCAATGTGTTTCTGAAGGACAGCTCTCTCAAGGTCTAGACAGGCATAAAGCTGGGAATCTTACAGATATACAGGGAGTAAAGTGAAAAATTAGTTCAAGTGCTAAGGGGAGAGAGTTCTGGAAAAGAAGGGAAAGAGGATCATATAAAGCTCTTTAGAAGCAAATAGCCAAATGTGTTATTTATGCTTTGGAGAGATAAACAAATCCACCATCCATGAACACCGTTGAAAGTGCAGTGAGAAAAAGGAGGAAAACATGCAATACATATAAACATATAATTAAATTGGCTTTGTAAAGAAATCTCACTCTGCATGCCATTCCCTGCCCTCAACATAGCCTTCATTTTTTTTCTCTCATGATCATATTTGTAGGACATAGGCATACAGACCAAGACACATCAAAAGCATGAGTTCAGTTCAGATGAATTCCACAGGTGCAGACATTTCTGCAAATATGTTTACAGCATCACTGCTGTATCTTTCAAGACCAAAACCTGGAACTTCTGCAGATGATCTGAATTACTTGCCATGGCTTTTGGCCAGAGAACTTGGCTGAGAAACTGTCCCAAGGCTATTGGAAAAACAACTCATCTTTATGCACATTTAATATGCTCTGGAGACCATTTTCCACCACATTTTAAATATTTTTCCCACATATAATTTCTTACCTGAAGAATTTTGACTTTTCCTAAAACGTTCTCCTGTGACATTGCTTGAATGGCCTGTTCACTCTCTGTTCTCCCATCAGGTATGAAAATACTGTCATGGGAAAAAGCTCGACTGCCCATAGAATAATGGGAGGATCTGTCAAAAAAAACAAACAGTCAAGAAGTAAGTAAATACTGTAATTAATTAATGAGAGTGACTCTTTATATCACAGTTGTCCTGCTGTATGTATTTCCCTCCCTCTTGCCTTCAACATAAAACTTTTGTACATTCTCAGAGGAGAGGCATCCAAGCAGTTTTGGTCTTCAAGTGTTTAATGGAGGTGCACAATTCCTTTATACACAGTCTTCCTCCTTGGAAAGACCTGGAGTTGGGTGTTTTTAATGGGCGTGTTGAGAAGTTCAATTGATTTTGCTTGTTAAGTCTCAAATCTAAATGTTGCTTTCAGGATACAGACTAGAAGGTGATGATGCACACATTACCAGAGTGCATATCCAAGAAAGTGCATTCATGCTTGGTGCCACTGCTTGGGGCACACTGTCACCTCTGGTCAAAGCAAACAGCAGGTGCCAAGCAAAGGGAGCCCTAGAACACAAAAAGAGATATTACAGTGCAGTAAGCCAGATCTACAGAGCTACCTCCTTTAGCTGATTACTCAGCCCTTCCTATGGCCACGAGCATGATCACACTGACAATAGGGGTTATCACCAAACCCCCAGACTGCAAAGATGCTTATTGCACCAAGCTGTGTGTCCTTGATTAGCCACAAAGAGTGAGGAATGCCCGTGTGCTGCCGCTAAACCAATGCCAAGGAGGAGGGTGTGTCACGAATGAACCAGTTATGTGGCTCTGATTCAAGTCCACAGGCAAAGGCATGAAACCAAAAGGGGTTTCATTTACCAGAAATCATTCTAATGAGTTTAACATTAAGAAAACTTAGAATTAAAAAAAAAAACAAAACAAAAAAGGCTTGTGGTTTTGAGGTCACACCGAGGCAAAAAATGTATCAGTTTGAAAGTCATGTTTTGCCTCACCTAGAATATTCCATGGTAAGTGAAAAGCCAATAATCTGCAATCATGATAAAAGCCACAATAAAAAACAACAAAAACAAAACAAACAAACAAAAACAACAAAAACAACAAAAAACCCAAGAAAACCCCAAACAAACAAAAAAAAACCCAAAACCAGAACAACAGAGAAGTCCCAAATCTCTCTTTTTAATAACCTGTTGGCAACCCTATAGAACCCATTTATAGTTTCAGAAAACAATCTGAAGGTGAAAAAAAGGATAGTTTTGATACAGATTCATCCAACATAACCTTCTACATATGATAAAAGCATTGTAAATAAATATTTCAGCAAAAGCAAAGAAGATGATACTTCCAGAGACAGATGTAAGCAAAAGAACAAGAAAAATTAGGCTTCATATTTACAATCAGTATATTATATTTTCTGCCTTTTAAAATGTACTAATTGGTCATGAAGTGCTCAAGATATTTATATTCATACTTTGGAAACAAATAAATTTGGAATGTATTTATTACATTTTCATCTCATTTTTTCCCTGGGGTATTTTAAGTAAAAACAATAATCTTTTCTTTACTAAGGGAGAATGTCATATAAGGTTACATAGCCCTGCTTAAACTGATTAGATGATAGACTATTCTTGACTTTTATAACAGAATTTCTTAGAGGTAACCTGAAAGTAACAGGATAAAAAAGTCCCCCCAAACCCTCTCCCTTGTTTATATATAAAATACTTCTGCAGTCACAAAATAATCAATCCCATTTTTATAACACAGTTCTCTGAATCATTTAATCTTACATACAATCACAGACTAAATGAAAAACTGCTTTTCATCCAGATTAATATTTGACCAACATGCTTATTTTTAAACAAATTAACACACAATCAGGCAAAGAGCTGGTCAATATTCCACAACATTTTTAGCCATGGAAGAAGAGGAACATTTAACTGATGCTATATTCTATGTTAGATTTTTTTTAAAAAAACAAAACTATAATACAATTGCCTCTGGCTGTTAAAGGTAGTACACCTTTAAAGTTTCTTTTAGAAAGCTTTTATTAGAGAAACCATAAAATTATATTTTTAAACCCTTTTCTAAAAAGGTTTCTATACTGAATCACCGTGACTCAGTCTGTACACAGCTGTGGGAAAATTACATGGCACTGAAATTCCTCTACCTTGCTTGGCCAGCCAGGAGTCAGCCAGTGTGTCACAGCTTGAGAAGTGTCCCTTACACAGAGACAAATTCCCAGCAGGCCTGGGAGTGAATGGTTTGACATGAAACTGAATGAAAGTTGGCTTTTCTCATATAATTGTGTAGGTCTGTTTGAACTGAAAGTTCCAGCATTGCATTCAAGCAGGTGAGAAGGACACATGCAAAATGTGACAAACCAGCCATTTGCACTGTTCAGTGTGTGAGCCTGCTGCAGGTGCAGAAGGCAAGGCCAGTGGGAACTGGTTGTTTGCTATTTACCTTTGAGCTGAGAGATCTGCTGAGAATGCATAGTCCAGGTCATACTGTTCTCCAGAGAGGATCCTTTCTCAAATATTTTTTCCCAGCTATGCTGTGGCTCAGATACTTGTGGCTTTGTCTCACAGCTGTTTGCTATGCATATAACACCATTCACCCCTCTTGTTGTCCAGTAGGTTGGGCTTCTCATACTTAAAATCAGACACCTCATGTATATTTGTGTTGTTTGTTACAACTAATTAGTAGGTAAGAGTTGCAATTCAGGCACCGAAGAGCTCAGTGACTCGTTTGGAAGTTGTTCTTGGCCTTACTAATGAATTGTTAATATTGAAGTTGGGAGCAGCAAACCTGCAGCTTTGAAACTGAAGGGAATTTGCCAGCAGTTCAAACCCCAAAACTGCAGCTGACCAACAGCAGGAATACTCTGACTGTATTATTTTTTTGGAATTGCCTGATAAAACCTGAATTTCTGGAATGAAAGAAAAGAGCAACTGCTGAGGACAGTTCTGGTGGACTGTCTGGGACATGGCTGTGAATGAAAGTCTTCCCCACCCTGCTGCAGAGCTGAGGACACTTTTAGGAATCTAGTCTCTCCTTCTGTCTGAAAACTTGCCAGCATTTCATTTACAGCTTCCTTTGGGGACACCAGGTCACGTGAAGCAGCTTGGCAGCTCCATGTGACCTGCAACCACATCACCACTGAAAATCCAGCCCTGTCTTTGACAAGCGCCCACAATGGTACCACTGGCAGGTTAGGACCATGCTAAGCACTTACAGCATCTCCAACATTCTACCAGACACCAACTGCTCTCTCCCTCATTCCCTCTCTCCCCCACCTCATTACAAGGCTCCACACATTTTTTTTCATAGATCTGAGGACAAGCATATCTGAAAGGTTTTGTTTCCATTTTTGTTTTCTTGTTGACTTGATAATAAAACATACTCCAAATTGTCAGAACAACATGAAACAAGAAACCCCACAGTGAATTAATGACAGACTGCTCCCTACTCTATCCCTTCAAAATACTTTGCAAATATGCTGACTATTTCAGAAGTGGGTGAATGAGCAGTTCTGCTAGCCACATGTCCAACAACTGGTAAAAATAGTTTAAGAATTTTGTTTAAATATCTATGTAGGCTAAAGAACATTGGAAAAAAGATATTCACACATTGTAGTAACCTAGTTTCTTTTACAGGCAAGTTGAAATAGCAGTTAAGGTGATTTCCAAGTGAGTTGTACTTTCTGAAAGGTCTCTTATTTTACTCCTTTGGAGCCCACAACCTTTTTACATTTTCCCAGTAGTGAATTTGACAGATTATATCACAAAGGTCCTTTTTCCGCTGCTTTTTTTTCACTTTGCTCATGTTCTACTTTTGGGAAGACTGAATTTCTTTTAAGTCATAATACAGTATGAATAATTGAGTTTCCTTTGCTGCTACCCATCTCTGAAGTTTTTCTCAGAAGTCTTTATACAATAACATCCTCACTATCCACATTTACAGACTGGTCTCCCTTCAATTAAAAGGCATGTCAGTATCAGGAGTGGATTTCAACAAATTCACAGCATGGCAGAGTTATGGGATACAGTCACAGCCATGGCTGAAGGTATTACAGTTTCAAACTTCCATATCACTTCCAAGAGACATGGGAAAACAGGGGCATCAGTTTATGAGCACTTCTGTTGATATTTCCAGTGATGACACTTCAGAGGCTGTTTGTGCTGAAAATAGTTGAATCATCATCTGACTCACTTTCAGAAACCTAAATTACATGAATTATGGATGTGATATATCAAAATACAAAGCACTTTTAACAGATCTTTAAATATGTTCTCCCTGAAGATGTGTTGCAACCCAAATATCATGTTCCAGTTTCAATTGCAGTACACAAATTTTCAAAACTAATTTTCTCCTACTGAGAGCGAAGTTGAATTCCATTTGCTCTTTATCCATTACTCATTATTGCTGAGTGCAATAATGTGTGTGTGAAGAAACTAGGAAATGTGAAACAAATCTCTCACAGTAGAATGGGACCACCCTGAGCCTACAGGAAAGGTCTTACTCCTCTCCCACAAAATGCAGGAAACAGAGACCCTCTTTGGACTCTTCCTCAGCCATCAGCTGCTATGGATCTATTTAGGAAGTGATTTTCCATCAGTTCTAGGTACCTCAAGTCAGGACTGGGTGAGGTATCACACTCTCTTTATCCTCCTCTCCATGTGCTCCCATCACCTCTTTTGTGCCTTATTAGTGGTCATTGTTCACATGAAACAATTCAGAGAAATGATCTGGTAATTAGAATAACCAAGTACAAAAAAAACCAATATATTAAAAGTCCCCCCAAAACATCAGAACTCAAAAATCCACACAAATTCCTGGTCTGGCTGAGCAAATCCTGACACAAGTTTCCATGCTAGCTGCGTATCTAGAGAGCTGGAAAGAGTCAGACATCAACCAACATTTACTGCTGTGGGACTGTACCCTTAACTACATCAGAGCATGTGCAGGGACACTTGCACAGAAAACAACATTATTGTATTGACACTGCTGGCTGTGATGTTTTTAGACCTGTGTTTCTCCAGAGCTATTTCTCCTCTTAAAGACAAATGTGTGATCTTTAAAAAGGGGAAGCTTTTCCAGAAAGAAGCTTTTCCAGAAAGAGCTGAGACCTCAGCTCTTATATAATCCCATGCTGGTGCATTACTGAAGTACACCAATTGCCTCTTTGGTGTGTCATAAATGTTCCTCCCACTCTGATATTAAAGAGATAGAAATAGAAACTGGAAAATAAAGGGAAAGAATGAGTTGTTCTGTTCTTTTATGTTTGTAGAGACCGACTCCAAAAAACCCAGAGTCTCATGACTTCCACTCTTTTAGATTTCCATTAGAAACCAATTCTGTAATCGTTAAAGATCAAAGTCAACTTTTTAACGTAAAACAATTTTTAAACAAAAAAGAAGTTTAAAATCATGCAAAGCAAGAATGAATTTGGTTTAGCCAGGTATTGACCCTTCATATAATCTCCTCAATGGAAACCAAGAACCACTTCCCAGAACATTACCTGAGGGAAATGACAGGTGCAGTGATAGGTTGCCTCTACTTGGTGTTTTGTTTTAAAAAAGAAATCTGATACAACATTTTGCATCTCCCATGAATGTCTTCAGGGCAGCTAGAGATGAAAAGCATAAATTGCATTTTCTAGTCATTCCAGAGATGCATTAATACTGTAATAGAGGAAAACAGATTGTAATTCTGAGCTTTATTTTTAGTGTCCTCTTTTTCATCTGCTGGAAAGAGAGTTTTGGTTCTAACACCTGGATGGGGAATATTGTTCATGCTGCAACATGAGTTAGAGCTGTGCTCAGACAGCAAATGACTTCATTGCATTAACAAACTCACAAACATGGGCCTCACAATCTGAACAGACAAAGGAGAGACTTTTTCAGTGGGGAATCTTTTTCATAAAGTAAACTAAGAGATCATTTCCGAATTCATTCTAAATATATATTCATATCACCTTCAGGAACAAATTCAATCAATTTCAGGGCACAAACTCTGGGAAAACTTTTCTCAGTACAGTTCAGTTTTTTCAGTACAGTTTGCCTGTTATGACCCATCCAAGTCCCACTGATGCCAACAATCAGTTGTGCAGCCACACTCAGAGTCTTTTCAAAGATATCACTCAGCATTATCTTATACAAAACTCCAGTCTGGTGTCATCAAGGGACCTGGAGCCTATGAACTTACCATAATTTATTTTTCTTAGAAGTAGAGATCAAGCCTAGCTTTAGTGCATCATGCTAATAATACAACTAAAATTATTATAATTAGGGGCATAAAAATTAACCATGGTTTTTCACCAAAAACATGTAATAAAATTTATTTTAAAAAATCCATGCAAATGGAAAACTGCAGCCATAACCCTATCTGTCCTGGAACATCCTCAACACACCTCATAACCCAGAAATAAGAAACTCTTTCCAGATGTACATGTCAGCTGACACAAGTAAGGAAAATCCAAGGTTTTTTTTCCTAAAACAAAATTTCTTACAATCTCCCTATGTTGCTTTGCTCTGCTTAAGCTTGAAGAGATACTTGCTTAAATCAGAGCTCCGGTAGGACGAAGCCTTCGGAAGAAGGTGAACACCAAATACCACAGAAACAAGGCACTTGCACTGGAGTCAAGAAGGCACTCAAAATGAGGCACTTAGAAAGGAAATCATGACTGACAAGTGCCAATTGCAGAAATACAGTTAATACACAGAGAAAAACGATTCCCAGTGTATGAAAACTGGATGTGACAGAGAGAAGGTTTCTTGGGAGCTCTTTGAAACTCCCAGATAGATCACTTTTTACTGTTGATCTAGATTTCTTCAAACAGAACTGCCCAATGCTGCAAGTAAAGGGGTCCCATTTTATGGGAGGCTGTCAAGACACTGAACTTTGCTCAGAGACTTTTTCCTGGAAGGTCAATGCTGTCTCACTTGAGTCCTAAACATCTGACAGGTCTAATTCCAGGTCCCTTGAAATACTGCATTCAGCCTAAGGAAAGGTAATCTACTGTACCCCAAATAAGAGAAATTTAATTCCCCACTCCCTCTGCACATCAAGCCAGAATGACAAACTTTAGTAGGGCACTGCACAGGTACCCTTTCAGGTCTGTCCTCACAATGCTTGCTCAGAAGTTGAGTATTTGTCAACTGTGACAAAAAAGGCAAATATAAAATCTTCTAACGTGCCAAATCATAGCCTCAGAACAGAAATTTCTGGAGACTTCAGTGAAGCTCCACAAACCTGTGGCACTGTCTTGTAGTCAGTACTTCTATCTCCCAGCCATTATGGTTAGGACAGAAAGTTAATGAATACAGTTTTATAAACTCAAGAAGGGCAATATAGAAAAGGGAGAAGGAATTCCAGTTTTCACAAGGCTGAGCAAGACAAACTGCAGCAGGAAACCTCCCACCTGGGTATTGCGAAACAACATAGATGAATAAAGAGGCTGAAGCGTGCATACATCAGGATACCAAGCAAGTTATTTGCATTTGATGAATCCAGGATGTAAGAAAGGATGGACAGACGGATCTCTCCGGCTCCTTCCAACTCAGCTAGTCAATCTACACCACATGTAGATTACCTCAATTGCTCCGGGCACGTCTGCATCACCCAGTCAGCACAGCCTCCATTAGAGATTCAGGTGTTAGCTGTGAGCAGGCTTGTAAGCCAATACAGCACTCTGTGAAATACTAGCTTAGGCCTGGGAAGCAATATAGATATCTTCTTCAGCCTTCACTCATTCATTTGCTTGTTTCCACCTTCCAGAAGCAGCTTCCTCCCTTAATACATTTTCAAAACAACCATCTCCTCTCCCCAAAACAAAGCTGAATGTCCACAGGACACATCTGTAGATAACAAATTCATGTACATTGCAGGCTGAGGAAGAAATATAACTTACTAAAGGAATGGGAACATCTCTGAGCTTTTATTGCAAAATTGGAGCTTTTATTAAGCTTTTTTAATCAGTTATTGTACATTCTTAAAGAATTTGAAGCAAATGGTTCACAAAACTTCTCAGGATTTTGCTTATGTAAATATACTACTAGTTATTTGTATTTAGTCTATTTCTGTATGAGTAGCGGAAAGTATGGCAATGCATTTATTGTCAGACAACTTGTAAACAACTATGTGTATTATTTTAGTTAGACAGCCTATCTGGATTCAATTCATAAATGTTTGTAATTACAGTAAAGGCTAAAACATATAATGGATGGAAGACATATTGAAAACAGGCCAGAGTGACAAAACTAAGCTCCCAAAGCAATCGAATGCAGTGCACTGAACATTTATGTTTGTTGTAAAATTAATTAAGTGGCAAAAACTACCTGCAAACTGAAAATTATCATCAAATCTCACATTTGCACCGTGAAGTCTGACAGGAAAAACAGAACTTTGACTGAGTATTTCTAGCAGGCTAAAACCTCTCAAGAATCACAGAAATAAATGTTCCACTTGAGGTGAAACATGGGACCGTTCACATTTACTAATCCCCTCTGGTTTAAATTTTACAGTCTGATTTTTCCACCAGATACTAATTTCTAACGCTTTTGTTAATTAGAAAGACTAATAGGATTAAAAATGCAAACATTTAACAGTCTCAAACAAGGTCTGCCACACCTTCATGTCACTGATTGAGGAACAGGACAAGTTCCCATATCACTGTTTGTTTCTGGGTGCAGCACTGCATTTTCAGCTATGCCAAGTGGGAAATCCCTGATAGTGAGATGACGCTGTTTAGTTTGCTCGTGAGGGAAAAGGCACTAAAACCTCCCCCTGTGGCTTGGCATCGTGCACTCAGGTAATGCATCACAACGGGGCTCAGTCACTCCTCCAGCTGCACTGTGGCTATGCTCAGTGCTGCTTTTCTGAAAAAGCTGGGACGAGCAAAAGAGGTGTACAATATTACACCACAGAAACCAAAAGGAAACCTAATACACAAGGAATTTCACAGAATGGAATATAAAAAAATCCCCCAAATAAATAATTTTAAAAATTATATTTTCATAGGCACCATTAGAAATGTTGTTCCAAGGTCTAGGGTGATGTTTCTGATACACATTTCATTCTTGAGCAGAGGAATTTGGAATTTTTTTTTTACCCTTTCAGATTTCTTTGTTACACTTTCAGATACACTCCCCAGTGCAAACACTTCCTTTACTTCCAAAGGAGCAGGCTTTGGGCAGGAGCCAGCTAACCTCTCTGAGACGAGCTGTTGGAAAGTGAATTATTACTGACTCCGGTAGTTTGTGAATCTGGTCTCAGGGCATTGTTGTTATTGGGGTAAGAGTTTCTTTTGTTTGAGTTTTGTTTGTTTGTTTGTGTTTGTTTACTTTGGGGTTTTTTTTCCTAGTTAGAGATTGCTGACTTGTTTACTCTGTACAGTTTCTTACTCCCACCATCCCCACAGAAAATTCTCACGCTGTTCTTCTGTCATCCTCTGTTGTCACCGGAATGTGATCTGATTTTCAGGTGCCTCTCTCCTCTCTGTTCCTTCTTCTGCTCTACATTCAAATTGGTCCAAAATAAAAGCAGCCTGTTTGTTGACCCCAATTACAGTGCAAAGATGATTTGGGATAGAGGGAAAAAGGATGTCTGTCCCAACCCGAAGACACCACCTTGCAGGGAAATGTATGCAATAAAGTATCTATAACAGCCAGTTCAAGTTTCCCTTTTCCCAGTTTTAAAAACAGGGATGCCATTAATACCTCTGCTCAGGTGTTCACCTGTTAAATCACAGAGCTGGATTCAAATTCATTTCTGCTTCCCCCTGGGATTTCTTATTCGCAGAGCAGCACACGCGCCCCTTAAGCAGCGAGATTTTGAGGTCTAAAGCAGCAGGTGTCAGAGCAAGGAGAGATGCACACGCTTCATAGCGAGCAGCGTACAAACTGCTGGCAGTCAGCAGAGGGGGATTCAGGTTTAGTTCCATTAGAAGCAGGGGGAGCGGGAGCTGTGTGTGCAGCAGCCGGGGCGCGCTTACCTCAGCCCGCTGCCGGGCTCCTCATCCGAGGAGCTCCCGTTGCAGATGTTGCCGAAGGAGTGGCTGGGCTTCAGTTTGGGCTCCTCACACTCCGAGGCGGGCTCTCTTTTCTTCCTCCTGCCGAAGAGCTTCTTGAAAGGCTGGAACTTGCCGGCCTTTTTCTTGTCTGCAGGTGAGAAGACAGAGCGGCGGGGTCTGAGGGAGGCTGGGAGGAGGAATGGGGTCAAAGAGCGATGGCAGCGCGGCAAGGCGGGCTGCTGGGCACGCGTCACTCCCACACGGCCGGGCAGGCCTGCTGCTGCCTCTGGGGGCAAACGCCTGCCTCCACAGAAAGGGCAATTCCCCGGAGACACAACGAAACACTGCCGTGGTTTCAGCTTTTATACCCCGGTTTTGACTGTTTTACCAAAAGACAAACGATGCTTTTGGTCACCCCGCTTTGGAAGGGGCTAGATCCTCTGCCTTGAGTTGAAAGCAATTGAAAGCAAAGAGCTTTGGGGTTTTAGTTGTGTGGCCTCATAACTAGGCAAGTCAATTTATAAATGAACAAAGAGAACAGAATGAATTTTTGTTGGTTCGTGCTGGGTTACCTCAATCAACATCCAGCTTTATATCAGAAAAGTCAATGCATTTCTCTGACTTTTTTTCTCCCCAGGTAACTGAGGACATAATTTGACCAGGCACTTTTTCCTTGAGACACTGACATTTTCAAAGCTACACCAAAAAAAGCACAGCAAAACCACAAAACATACATGAAGACAGGAACAAGAAATAAAAAAGTTAATTAGGAAAAAAGTAACCTTTTTCCTTCCACCAATAACTGGAAAAATAAAGGCAGCTTCAAACTATTATCCCCCACCTATTAAAAAGAAGTACCATGATTTTCTTGTTAACCACAGGTTAATTTCTCGGGGCTGGGATGAATCAAAGAATATATAAAACATAGTAACTGTTAAAGTGCTTTATTCCTCTTAGGCTTTACCTTAACTTTAACTACCTTAAAACAGTCTAGTTGGGTTTTTTAATTTGTTTGTTGTTTTGGTTTTTTTTAAATCCCAGCATGCAGCCTCCTATCATAACCTAGTTTGAGAAGCATCGTGTTGTACTGGTGACAAATATTTTCATGAGCTAATTACATTCCTGTATGTGCTTTTCTCGCAGGCTGTGTGCACACACTGCCTCAGCGTGCTCTACTCTTCCTGTGGGCTGGGGCTCAGCAGAAAGCCCTGGGTTGGTTGCAAAGTACATGCAGGCCCTGTAGGAAATTTTGACCAGGAAACCTGGAATATCTTCTGCAGTGCAATAGTATTCTTTTGTTCCACCTTGGGTTTTACACTCTACTCTGCCATACCTAAGCAGGGTAAAGCACATCTGGGTAACACACCATTGTAACCAGTGGAGGAATATCTGCAGGGTTTTCAGAGGGAGAAAATGTGTCCAAGCATATTTTGACCTGGCCACCTCCAGTGGTAAGTGGTTTCCAAACTAGCATAGTGCCAGAGAGCCTGAGTTGAACCCAGCATAGCATTAAACTTACGCACAGTTCATCTATCTGTATCTGATTATGGATGAAATAAGAAATCTACATTGAAACTACAAAGTCAAAGACACAAGAGATAATAATTCTGCTCTTCCTTTACAGATCCATAAGAGGTTCACAAAAACGTAATTCTTCTTGGGCAGTCAGGATACACAGGTTTTTTTCAACTTCATTAAAACATCAGGGCATCCTAGTAACAGCATAAAAATAAAAAGCTGAATTACAAACTTCAAACCCAGGCCCAGCATCATAATTTTCCAATCCAGAATCACTGACTCACAATAAGCAGATGAGAAAAACAACAACTGGAACAGCAGTTTTACCAGTGTAGAAGAAAATGGGATATGGAAGATTACCTGTCACCCAGCCCTGCCTTCCATAAGCAGATCAACTCGCATCTCCAGCCAGACCAATTGCTTGCTGCTCAGTTCTGACTCCAGATATATGTAGAATGTATTTATATATAATAGAAAATATTCCTATATGAAATCCCTAGAAGACAGGCAGGCATTCAGGCAGAGAAGGAGAGAAATTACTGCTCTTGGCCACTGCTGCTCTGACTCTTTAAGAGCTTCAGAAACACCCGACTGCAAAAGACCATAAATCAAATGGTAGAGCATACAGGACACAAAACTGAGTAGAAGAGCTGTTTGTTCAGAGTTCTCACCTTGCTTCTTTCCTCAGCTTTCTCCAAAAGGGAGATGTCAAGTTTGCTGGTTAATGTTGCTTACTGCATAAATCAATTCAACTACAGCATTTTTAAAAAAAGGTTCTCACCATGTCATCCATCCACCTTACTCTTGTCCCCTCCTCTTTTCGAGATCTCCAGATCTAATTGTGAATTGCCTCATTGACTCTAAATCTACACTACTGATTCACCAACTATGAGTCTAATGTTGAATGAATGTAACAGGTCAACACAGCTTTCATTTCATCAAAATGGGTGAAAACCAACACACTTATCTGCAGCCAAGATCTGCTTTTGCCCATGTGATGTAACATGTCCCTTAGCTGTTTCCTTGCTGCACACCCATCATCACAGCTGTCACATTACTAAGCATGAATTCTTTAAATCAGAGTTTGTGACTCATTCCAAAGCCAAAGAACACCCTGCCCTGCACAGGCTGTGCATGCTGTTCTCCATCCTGCCAGGTTTCTAAGGAGGGAGTGCCTGACCGCTAAGACGAAGTCTGTTTATGTGTATTTTTCACAAGATCTTATGAAGGAAGATGTGGGATGATATTGCAGGGTGAAACGCTTCCTGTAGCAGTAAAAACAAGTACAAAAAGTATTCCAAACATCAACAATGCAGCAGACAATTCTCTTCACAAAAGCCTTTTGAGTCTGTCATTCTCAAGCAAAACTCATCCCTCCTGTCCGTCTCTACTGCTGAGAGAAAAAAATGGGATAGGAAAGGATGAAAGTTGGGACAAAGTTGATAGTTGGTGTCAACTTGCAACAATGACAATTGTTGGGAGAGCCAGAAAACAAGTCAGCTTACATGTGCCATTTGCTTGTCTCCTCAATCACATTAATGGAATCCTACAGATTCAGCCCCAGGAGAACAGGGGAAATAAGCAATTAAACCTTTTTTCCCTGTCTGTTTAATAAGTCTATCTTGTTTGAATTGCTGTAAACAGTTAACAGGAAACCAGTTTTGAATCACAGAATAACATACGGTGTGAAGGCGACAGATAAACAAGGTTGGATACACTAGCTAGCATAACACAGCACATATGGTAGGCGTGCCCTTCTCAGCTACCAGAAGAGTAGCAGAGCAGATTAGAATAATCTGTAACCTGTCATATAATTTGTCAGATGCACAAAGACATGCAGTGCATAACACAGAGCCAGTTAAAGCAGAGAGCCTTGGCATCACATAGGCAGCACATGGTGCCTCCGCTCCCACTGAGAGAGGGGAGCAGCTCCTCCTCTCACAGTTGCTCTTTCGAGCTCTCCAAGAAAGATGAAGGTGGGTGCAATGGCCTTTATTGCCAGGAAATCAGGCACAGCCTTTGGACTCCAGCTGGCAAAGTCTTATCGACATGCCAGCTGAAAATTCCCCATAAACTAGCTTGCAGTTTAATTGCTCCATTCAGGATTCCCAGGCTGTGACACCTTTCAAAAAACAGCACAGAATCCTCAACACAAGCATAGGCCAAACAAAGATTTAACTATCATGACTATAGAGAGATTTAAATGATTGGAAAGGGAGGGAGCAGTGTATCCCAGACAACAGGCCGGGGTGAGATTATGCCACTGGATGAGATAGAGGAGATGTCAGTGCCCCTGGAAATATCTGAAAAACAGTTTTCAAGCAAAGCAAACTTAACATGAGAAGCAGAAAGACGCACATAATCACAGAAGAGACACCTAAATATTTAACAAGGTGTTGATTCCTTGCAGCTTTTCCTATTTACTGCTGCACTGGGAGCACTCACAGAACTGTGGATGAGGAAACCTGGGGGGCAGGTCATCTCTGAGAAGAGCTGACCAAGCACATGCATCAGCTGGTGGGTAGAAAGATGACTGCTGAGGAGAAAAATAAATAGAAGCAGGATTCATAGTGTCAATTTGAATTTTAAGTCACAATGACCAAGATTTTTCAAGCCCTAGTTTTGAAGAAGGATTTGCAAAGTTTTCACGGAATTTTTTGCTCATTATTTGAAATGAAGCACCTGTTTATGACACTTCTCGCAGTCTGAGATATTGAGCTGTCTCCAAAATTATGCGTTCTTTGTTAGTGAATTTAATGGCTATAAAATGTGGTGTAATAAACTAGATTAATGAGAATATGAATTATTTAATTGGATAGATATTTCTGTAATGAATTTAGGGAATGGAAATCCAAATGGATGTTACATTAAAAACTGTGTGGCAGAGAGAGGATAAGTGGGCTGCTGGGCTGCAGGCCCAATACAGCAGCCAAGGTGGAAAAGGGGACTAAAAGATACTGTCAAGAGGGTGAGTTGACTGACATTTCTCATTGCATCTCTGCAACAGAAAAAGCTGCTATGGTACACATTGCCAGTACCACTGTTTAAAAAAACACCTCAATTTCAAGCTGATGGTATTCTTATTGATGCTCTTTTTAAAATAACACAGGATGTACCCACTACAATAACCACTGCCCAGTTGAGCCCTAGGTTGGCCAGGCACCTGCAGAAACTTCTTTGCTTTTCAGATCCCCACCAAAAAAGCTGCCTTCTTTCCCCCTTTCCCAGTCTATTCCAATGGCACAGAGCTTCTCTGGGCAAATTAGGATTGGCACTTGCTTCCCACTCACTCCACATCTCAGTACATCCACTTCTGTGAGACGCCAGAGATGCTCGTTTTTGCTGATAAATTTTCAGCGCTCCCTGGAGAGATGTTTCCACTCCTCCAGGGAAGGGAAATAAATTGTTCAGGGTCAAGGAGGAAGAGAGCAGGCTTTGCTCTGCTTAACCATGTTCTCATGTTTTAAAATAGGTGTGAGCTCCTGTACCTGTGGTAGCTCATCTGATCTCACTGGGAAAATTGGTTTCTGGACATATTCTGCTTTCATGACCTGCCCTCAATCCGTTGCCCTCTCTTCCATAGGTGGCTGGGGTTGATAGATGGACACAGTCCAAACATACAAAGCAGGC